CTCCAACAACTGTTGTAATCTCTGTTCTTGTTTATTTTCTCGTTCTTCTTGTTTCTTTTATTGTTTATTTTCTCGTTATTGTTTCTTTTGCTGCTCTTGTATTGCTGCCATCAAATCTGTTAAGCTGTAGTTTAATTTGCCGCTTCTCGTTTCCATTTTTTTCTTTCTTTTCCATCCCACTTCTGACACCAATTTGTTACGTCTCCGGTCGTTAGTTAATTTTCCGTAAAAATTCTTTCCGAAGAAACTTTAGCGATACAAGTCTTTTCTTAAATAAAACTGGTTTATTCTTTCTGAATACAACTTTGCAATACACTTAATTTCCACAGTCGCGCTATAACAAGTGGTTAGGGCGCTTGAATTGCAATCTGCGAGTCGCGGGTTCGAATCCCAGTCCCATCAAACTTGCTCGACCCTTCAGCCGTGGGGGCGTTATAAAGTGATGGTCAATCCCAATATTCGTTGGTAAAAGAGTAGCCTTAGAGTTGGAGGTGGGTAGTGATGACTGCTAAATCAGGGACGGTTAGCGCAGATAGCCCTTATGTAACTTTGCGCGAAATTCACAAACGAACAATCCTTGTTTGAAGTGCGGCTTGATATTTTATTTTTTCTTCTGCAGACTATATTCTTATAGCACAGGGGGTAGCCAACCTTTTTTCTGCCACGGACCAGATTTTGATTACCGGAGTCGACCCAGGCTGCTTTCAACTTTAAAATACAGTGCTGGTAAAAAAAAGTGGCCACCCTGAGCTTAGTATTTTTCAATGCTCTGAAACAGCTCTCATTTGGCTGTGGTCACAAAGAATCTTATATCAATAGATCTTATATCAAATTAAAAATAATGAAAAGGCCGCAGGGGCTGTCTAAGTATCATGCGTAGGCCGTAATACAGTGAATTTTATAAATGTTAGGTGGGCCGGGGTTTGGCCACCCCTGTGTTAGAAGAACATTTCTTTTTTCATTCTGTCTATTCTGAGCCCTTCTATTTTGTTGTCTGTCTTTGTTTTGTTATTGTATTTTTATTACTCAATTTTAAAACCCAATGCCCATCTATCAGAGCCATCTAAGAAACATGTATTTATTTCGATTTTGGACTTTAATCTCTGTAAAAGAATATATTTGTTGCCCTGTGAAATTATCTGTATGAAATTATATCAGTCACGTTATGTTCTTCTTGCCAGTCTGTTTCTCACAAATTCTTCCTTACAGGTTTTGAATATGTCATTTGTTGTAAGATTGTGCTGATATGGCACCAACAGTAGAAAGCAATTACATAATAATATTTTAATATATATATATATATATATATATTTGTGATTTGTTAACTCTGAAAATAAAGTGTCTTTTATTTTTCAGTATGATTCATCAAGGTGATAAATACCTCATTCGTATTGGTAGCCTCATTTTGTGGAATGTTGGGCAACTTCTGCCTCACCAGCTTCAAGCTTTTCACAGCTCAACTTCCATTTATCCTGTAAGTTTGAATTACATGAAATCTCTTGCTATTAGTTGTGAAATACATGATATACTGGAAGCTGACAGTAAAATTATTCCATAATAAGAAAGAAATTGAAAAAAGTATAGTCAGTATTTTATTTGTATAACAAAATAAGTTAACTTGCTAGTTGTAATCAGTTAGAAATATAGTAATGATAGTAGAAGCATGTGGAATGATCTTGGTGAGTAGTTGTATAGTACTCATACTCGAATGAACTGATCTGTACAGGTGGGATATAAGGCTGTTAGGATGTACTGGAGTATTCGAAGACTTGGGAAGCGTTGTCGCTATGTGTGTAGCATCCGTGACTTCAGTGGAAAACCAGATTTTCAAATACAGGTGCAGGAACCAGGCCATGATGAATTTACTTTAAAGGATTCAACTCCTAAAGGTGAGACATACTGGTTTATGCATAAGTAATTTATTCAGATGTAGATATGAGTAGTGATTAGTTTGGTGTGAATTTTGGAGATAACTATACAAATTATGCTTAGAATCTGATGGTGACCACAAGGTTACTTACTCAGATGTAGAGTTGAACAGATTAGTCTGGTGTGAAACGTGTGAATTTTGGAGTTAACTATACAAATTGTGTTTAGAAACTGATTGTGACCACAAGGTTACGTACTCAGATGTATTGTTGAACAGATTAGTCTGGTGTGAAACGTGTGAATTTTGAGTTAACTATACAAATTATGCTTATAAACTGATGGTGACCACAAGGTTACTTACTCAGATGTAGTGTTAAACAGATTAGTCTGGTGTGAAACGTGTGAATTTTGGAGTTAACTATACAAATTGTGCTTAGAAACTGATAGTGACCACAAGGTTACTTACTCAGATGTGGTGTTAAACAGATTAGTCTGGTGTGAAACGTGTGAATTTTGGAGTTAACTATACAAATTATGCTTAGAAAATGATGGTGACCACAAGGTTACTTAAAAGTTCAGTGACATGTTATTGGATGATTCTCAGTGGGTTTTACTGCACGTGTTGTTTTAAGGTTTGACACAGGTGAATAACAAAATGTTCTTTTTGAATATTATCTAAATAGTATCACTATTTTTATAAATAAAATTTGTACAGTAATTTGTGTGGGAAAACAAAATGGTAATCTCAAATGCTGGAATGCTAGACTTTTTCAGCGGGCTTACATACTTCTAAAACAGATTAATAGGTGTCTATGCAAACAAAATTTGATTATTTACTTCTTTTTTTTTTTCATAATTGCTTTAAAGACCAACAGACAGTGAGATTAGTGTTAGGTGTAGAAAACGATCATAATATGCATAGATGAAAAAAATACTGTATAAGTAACAGGAATCTTTTAAAATAATTTAACCCTATAGGCACACCCATTGCCATATGGCAACCAAATAATGCATTTTCAATTTCCCGCTAGAAATGCGAAATGAGCACACAAAATCAATGGACAAAGCCTAATTTGTACAGGTGATGATCATCTCAACCACACATTTATATGCAACATGGCATATGATACTATTCAAAAAATCTGTAATATCTGCAGTTGAAAATAGTTTAATTTTTATGAGAAAATGGACCCAACGTGGTATCAAGTTGCTCCAGTTTTTTCCAAGTTTGAAGAGACAGTTGAGCTTGTGTAAGCTGACGATGATTCCGGCTCTAAACCTGAATTATTTGACAAGGATTTTGTGCATGACTTGACTGAAAAAAGGTATGCACCTGAAGAGTTAATGCCGGATAAACTGCTTAATACATAAAAAATATAAGCATTAAAAAATCATAATTATCATCATTAAACAAGCAAAAGACTGCATCATGTTATAACATTGCAAATGCTTGCTATATATATATCAGCTAAAAAGTTTACTTACACGTCTAAGTATTTTATTACAGAAATCCGGTTAAAACGTGAGATGTTTTTTGTTTTGTTTTTAAGGTGTATGGCAGCAAGTCTTAGAACCAATACAAGAAATGCGTCAACAAGCTAAAACCATCAACGTGTTTCCAAATTTCATCACCGGGGAAGATCTTTTTGGTCTAACAGAACCATCCATTCTTCACATTCTTGAATCTGTAAGTTGAAGATTTTTTTTTTTTTGTAATTCATTACTTGAGTATTTTGTCCTTTTTTCTTTATCTTAGTTTGTTACTACTTGTTTTTTTTCTGACATTTTTGATGATTTTTGATTTTTGAGATCTTGATTTGTTCATTTGCTATTTTTTTACATTTTACGTAAGCCCAATATATCTCTTCATATATCAGGACAGAATATTGTGTGTGTGTGTATATATATATATATATATGTATATAATATTAGTTTGTCGATAATTCTGCAAAACTTTTCCAGCTTCCTGGGGTAGATTCTCTCACAGACTACAGTTTTCGTTATGGCCGTTCATCATTATTGGACCTTCCTCTAGCCATTAATCCAACAGGTTGTGTCCGCACAGAACCCAAACTTAGAACACATTTCAAAAGGTGAGTTGATTTTATATATTAGTTTGATAAAGATATTTGATTTCTTTCATGTATGATGTGTATATCATTAGAGATCAAGAAAATATTTTGTATTAACACTATTAATATTGTTTTTATTTTAAAAAATTTAAATCTTAGTTTTAAATTTTGTACATAGATAAAAGAACTTGTTGTAATTTACTGAAAAGAAAGTATATTTATTTGTCATAAAGTGATCTTCACCAAGAATATTACCTGATGTGAATTGATGCTATTTTGAAAGTTCAAGTCCGAGGTCATAAGTATATCTTTGTCAGTTTCTGTGGTGTTTTTTTTTTTAAGACTTTTAGCTAGAAGTGATGAATACTTTAAGAGCAGCAAAATAAAGTATCAAAATAAATATGTTAATGAAAAATAATTATTAAGTTGAAACATTGAATATATATAAAGTGGAACATTCTAATGAACAAAAAAAAATAATTAAATTTCTGAAATGAAATGAAGTATTTTTAATTTTTTAAAAACTGTGTCTTATGACATAAAAAATATAGAAAAAATAAATCATATCATATGCATTTTTTTGAAGCCTAAGCACTAAATACTATTTAATAAGTTCATTTCACACAATTTGATTCCACTGTGAGAAGGATGTCACCTATATTTTAATAAGACTAGCTGAGGGTACCCATTAAGGAAGCAGAAAGTGTATAAAGGAAAATGTTAAATAATGTTCCCTTTCCTGCTTTATTATTATTATTAAATCCCTGATGGCTTCATTAGATGCTAATTGCATCCCCTACTTTGTGGAAGGTAATAATTGACTCATTTAACTGATTAAGTAAAGAAGCCAGAAGTCTATAAAAGAAGTGGAAATGTACCTTATTTCAGAGTGTTTTTATCCCACCTATTGGGCAAAATTCTAAAAACAAAATAGTCCATGTACATTGTTAGACAGTTTTCAGTTACCATATCAAAAATTAAGGTAATGGAAGAAGCTAACACTGGTTGGCACAAGCCAAAAATCTGTTAAAAAGAAAAATGGTAATGTGCTCTATTTCAGGAGCTTTTTTTAATCTCCCTTCTCGGGCAAAAATCATAATACTAAATAACTCTTGTACACCATCAACCACTTTTCGGTTACTCCAAAATTACTGTAATTGAGTCATTACCCTTTGAGGGTAATGACGGCCAAAAGTGGAATTTTTGTTGATGGATACTAACACAAAATGGATTATATTTATAGTGAGATGCAGTTATTAGAATACTTTATAATCTAGGATAATACCTAGCAAGCAAGATTTCGTTTTTTCTTCAACCTTGATGAGTTTTAATTGGCTGTTCTTCTTTCTGTTATGTGCCTACCACTGTCAAGTGGTTGAGACATCATAACATCTCTAACTACCTCAGCTCTGCTACACTTTCAACAGATACTTAAAGTAGACATTTTTTAACAATGAATGATATAGTTGTTTTAATGGTAAAAGTAATATTGTAGAAAGCAGTTGTTTTATTTCTGCTTTACAGAAACACACATTGGGTATTTGTTAAATCAGGAGCTTCTTTAAAACAACTCTCATGATTTTTAAAGTTCATGTTTAAGCTGTTATATTTGAGCACAGCTACTACATTCATTAGCCATTAATGATACATAGGTTTTTGTGAAAATTCATGATTTTTAAAGTTCATGTTTAAGGTCTGTTATATTTGTAGCACAGCTACTACATTCATTAGCCATTAATGATACATAGGTTTTTTTTGTGAAAATTCATGATGTTTAAAGTTCATGTTTAAGCTGTTATATTTGAGCACAGCTACTACATTCATTAGCCATTAATGATACATAGGTTTTTTGTGAAAATTCATGATGTTTAAAGTTCATGTTTAAGCTGTTATATTTGAGCACAGCTACTACATTCATTAGCCATTAATGATACATAGGTTTTTTGTGAAAATTCATGATGTTTAAAGTTCATGTTTAAGCTGTTATATTTGAGCACAGCTACTACATTCATTAGCCATTAATGATACATAGGTTTTTTGTGAAAATTCCAATATAAAACATGGGTGTTGTCTAATAATAACATAGTAAATTGTTATTAATAAAATTGGAGAAACTTAAAAAAATTTATTTCTTCTTAGACCACATACCCTGCATACAAGCAATACATTTAGATCTAGTCTGCGATCAACCCTTGGAGAAGCAGAAGCTAATTCACCTTATATCAAACAGTTTGTCCATTCTAAATCTTCTCAATACCGAAAGATGAAAACTGACTGGCGAAATTATGTCTACTTAGCCCGTTCTCGAATCCAGGTATGTCAAGTTACATAAGGATTCGTTTGTTATGAGAAATTAAAAAAAAGGTAGATTGAAGTATCTTGCTGTGTGATTGGTCAATAATGACGAATATATCCTAATGACAAGTTTTATTGTCAACAAAATAATAGATCTGAAGATCGAATCCAGGTATATCAAGTTACATACGTATTCATTTGTTATGAGAAATTTAAAAAAAAGGTAGATTGGAGTATCTTGCTGTGTGATTGGTCAATAATGACAAATATATCCAAATGACAAGTTTTATTGTCAACAAAATAATTGATCTGAAGATCGAATCCAGGTATGTCAAGTTACATAAGTATTTGTTTGTTATGAAAAATTTTAAAAAAGGTAGATTGGAGTATCTTGCTGTGTGATTGGTCAATAATGACGAATATATCCAAATGACAAGTTTTATTGTCAGCAAAAAAATTGATCTTAAGATTGAATCCAGGTGTGTCAACAACAAAAAAATCTAAAGGAAGTTTATAATTATGAAATTGTAATTATGATATATGTTTCTTTAGAACCATTAGTACAGTGGGTTGTATTTTCTTTTCTTTTCTTTTTTCCTATTATAAATTACATATAACCAAAATCCTTTGTTGTATGCACATTTGAATACTGGCACTTTTTTGTTTAGAATTTCACTCTTGTGTTCATTAGAAAGCAAACTTGCCTAAAATTCACATATTAGCTTCTTATTCCTCCTCTCCCCCCACTTTGCTTTAAGGCTTTCTTGACTGAAGAACCTTTTAAAGTTGACTGAAATATACTAACTTTTTGTATTGTTATATATATGTGAAATTATTTAAGATATATTCCATGTAGGGATTTATTTTTTGTATATATAAATTTACTCGTAGTTATTGATAATACTAATTTGGCATTCATAAGAAATTGTAATTATCAAACTTACTTGTGTGGTTGTACAAAGTAGAATTATTCAACATTAAAAAAATTACATTAGATATTTCGTCACTCGGAGGTTGTATTCACATTGTGGACTTGTGTTCATCATGTTTATATCTAGTGCTTACTTTTTGTAGGGCCTGGGGCTGTATGCCGCCAGAAATATAGAAAAACACACAGTGGTTATTGAGTATATAGGTGTACTCATTAGAAATGAAATAGCTGAGAGGAATGAGAGAGAATACACAAAAAAAGTAAGTTTAATTTAATAATGCTCTCATGTAAACTTTTCTTTCAGCGGTAACATTTTAGCTCATTTGTCACATATTGAAACTGGTCTCGCTTTTTATTGTTAGTTCTAAGAACTTAAGAGTCTTGGTAAGAAAGAATATCAACCACATTTGCCCTATCCAGTGCCAACAAGGCCTTTCATCAATATGAGGGATCATCAAGTCGGTTCTGATAAACAGACGTAGTAGTGGCCTAGTTGCTATTTATATCATCAGTTTTCATGAACGGTGAATGATGTCATATGAACGAGATTAAGTAATTGAAATGTAATTATTATTAATTTTTTATCTGTCATTTACAAAACAATATTATTTATTTTATTTCTAATACCAATTTTTTTATTTCTTTTATTTGAGACATAGTTAGGCTGAACAAAGCACTTTCATCTGAATCTTTAACTCTAATTTGATTATTGTTAATACTGAATATTTTCAGTTGTTGTATTTAGTTTAAAACAACAACCAAAACTTCTCTTTCAGAATCGAGGAGTATACATGTTTCGCTTAGATGAGAACAGGGTAATTGATGCTACCCTGTCTGGAGGGCTAGCTAGGTACATCAACCACTCATGTAATCCAAACTGTGTAGCTGAGGAGGTGCAGATTGATAGAGAGAAGAAGGTTCTGATTATAGCCAACCGCAAAATCACTTGTGGAGAAGAGGTAACTTTTTTAGATTAGTAACTTAGCTGCTTAACATATTTTGAAACCTGTTGTATTTCATTTTGAAAGAGTTTGGTAGAAAAAAAAGTGAATATCAAATAAATTTGTACATTTTTAAATTATTGTAAAAATAAAAGGTTTCTGATACGTTTTAAGGGCTGTCTGTTACATAAGTAAAATGTTATGGAACATAGTTTTTCAATTTAACTAAGGTACGTAGTTTGTCGTAGCTTTTGAAATACTTGGAGATTTTTAGTTTATTTTAAATTCTAAGAATTACTCACAGCTGAGTGAATATTATGTAGACAAAAATTACTTCAGCTACTCAGTAACCTGATAAGTTCTCACAACTGTTACCTGGATACTGTACTTGTATGGAAACAACCTAATAAATAACCACAACAGATTAACTGTTACCTGGATACTGTACTTGTATCGAAACAACCTAATAAATAACCACAACAGATTAACTGTTACCTGGATACTGTACTTATATGGAAACAACCTAATAAATAACCACAATAGATTAACTGTTACCTGGATACTGTACTTGTATTGAAACAACCTAATAAATAACCACAACAGATTAACTGTTACCTGGATACTGCAGTATCCAGGTAACAGTTAATCTGTTGTGGTTATTTGTTAGGTTGTTTCCATATAAGTACAGTATCCAGGTAACAGTTTAATAATCTGTTGTGGTTATTTATTAGGTTGTTTCGATATAAGTACAGTATCCAGGTAACAGTTAATCTGTTGTGGTTATTTATTAGGTTGTTTCAATACAAGTACAGTATCCAGGTAACAGTTAATCTATTGTGGTTATTTATTAGGTTGTTTCCATATAAGTACAGTATCCAGGTAATGGTTACTCTGTTGTGGTTATTTATTAGGTTGTTTCAATACAAGTATACTTATATCGAAACAACCTAATAAATAACCACAACAGAATATAAGTACAGTATCCAGGTAACAGTTTAATAACGAAACAACCTAATAAATAACCACAACAGATTAACCATTACCTGGATACTGTACTTGTATCGAAACAACCTAATAAATAACCACAACAGATTAACTGTTATCTAGCAGCCATGCTGAAAGCTCAGAAACATTTTGGCCCAGTACTCACAATATTCATAATAGACAGAGTCACAGTTGAGAAACTTTCAAACACAAAGTCCTTGAAAATAACCTATTAATTACATCTGTCCAAGAATAATCGTTACGTGGAGATAATATCTAGACTGGGTCGAATTGTCCAATTTTTTCTTTTTTTTTTCTTTGGATCATATGATTACTCTGTACAACATGAAGAAAAGACAATTCTGTCATTTACTTTTAATCTATCGAGCAAAACTGAAAATAACTGATTTTGTATGTGCTTATTTATACCTTAGTGTTACAATTCCAATTCACTCTTGGTTCAGATTTTTCAAAGAATGTTGTCTTTTTTCTTTTAGCTGAGTTACGACTACAGGTTTGAGGTGGAAGATGATCAAAACAAAATCCCTTGCCTGTGTGGGGCACCTAACTGTCGAAAATGGATGAATTAGGCCAGTAGTACTAAACTCCACTATGAATTGTGTGTGTGTGTAGGAGAAAGAGGAAAAGAATGAATTTTTAGAAATCATTTTTCCAAGTAGTATCGGTACGTGATATTCAGGAAAAACTATTGCTAGAAGACCAAAGTGTAATTTGAATCATGTACAACTCTAAAAGGAGTCTAACAATCATTTTGTTTACCTTATAAATGTAATATTTTGGTGTATTGTGAGTTATTTTCATGGTGAATTTTGGGAAACTATTTTTTTTTTTTCTTTCATCTTTTAAAACATAATCTGTATTAATCGTAGGAATGAATCTGTTGGACTTGTTTTTAACATATCATGAAGTTCTATGGGTGATAAGACTACTGTATAATTTCTAACAGGTTATATATAATAATAGACTAAGTCCTTAAAATTGAAAAAAACTATTAACAGGTTTTTCTGAGATTGTTTGAACTTCAGGTCAGACAACTAAGTTGACTGAAAGAAGTATTTAATTGTACAGCTTTGAACATTTCTAAGAAATTATATTCTGTACTATGTTTTATAGAAGTCGGTATTTACAATATTAGTGTTGTTGTGTTTCTTAAAGTTGATAGTGACACAAGAACGTAATTATGATTTAAGTGGACAGTGTGTGACGTGGTCACTCATTAGAGGCATTTAGCTCTGTAAATGTGTTTATGTTTGGCATGAAAAAGTACCTCATGTTTTTCGTTTCTAATGCCAAATATCTATTAATTTTCATCTTGGATTTCTTTTGATTTGAAAAATAATAATTGAGATTTAATGATAAATAGTACTTTGTGCTATCTTATCCCTCCTTTTTTAAGTTAGAAAACTTAATTATGCAACACCAAATGTACAAATTCATTACTTTTTTGGGGATTTTCAGGATCACTTGATTTCTATTAGGATGTTGGCATACTAGGTATACTAGTAGCTCTTATATCTAAAATGTTCCTATGAGAAATCTTACGAGTCTCCAAATTATGTGTTAGTTTTTGAAACGGGTGTGATAAGTTTGTATGCAAAGTGTGTAACTTTTTCAAAAATTATATTTTGGTATATGATTAATATGAAACCATTTTTGTCGAGATTTTCATTTATTAAATACTTAGATTGTCTTATAAATAAAAGTTTGGCATAAACTTTATAGTTTAAAAAGAAAATTATTACTCTCCACTGCTGTATTTGCTGGATAGTTTAACACAGGTTATTATGACAGAGGTGAAAAAATATATTTCATATTAATAGAGTTTATTTAAATTCTAAAATTGGTCATACTTTTTTTTTCTAATTAAAGTTAAACTTAACAACAATATATAACTTACAAACAAGATTTCTGATGCATGTTACTATTTTATTTTTTGCTTTTTTTAAAGTTGAAAAATTAACCTTCCATTTTAACCTGTACCACAATCACAAAAGGTTTCAAGTAACATCAATTATATTGTATACAGTATTGTAACCCAAAAGATATTTGTATTACAATGAGATTACTGAAGAGTTACTAGTCTGTTACTAAAAAAAAATATACAGATCAGTTTTTAATGGAAAATAATGTATGTATAAAATATGAAAAAAAAGAGGACAAGTTCTTGATAGTTTCAAGCTCCTGAATCAGTTTGTCTTACAACAGGTCGAGAATTGATTAAACCTGAACAGTATTGTAACTTGTATATAAACAAAATGTTGAGGAATATATATTCAGCATTCGAAAGATTTCTGTATAGTTATTAAAGATATGATATTACTTGCTTTAAGCCAGAGTCATTGCTAGTGAGACCACTGTAATTGACACAGAATTTGTACAACATAGTTTTCATTAAAACTCGTGAAAACCATTTAAATTTGTTATATTTTAATGTTTTGCTAACAGTATATTGTGAGGAATGCTTCTGTTTTAGCATGTGTAATTATATTTGTTTAAATCTTCACTCTTATATTTTTTCATTAACATTTTCTTTTATCTTAATATTCTCAGTGTTTAATATTACATTTTCTACTTTATTAATTACTACCATGTTTCATGAGAATTCAGTTTAGCCTAATTTATAAATGTGTATAACGTATGTAAAACTAGCCTCTTTCTGATAGCAGTATGTGATATATAATGATAGTAGTTCCTTAACTATTTGGCTAGGTAACATTCTTTGTGTAAAAAGACTGATTGCAGTCTCATACTGTAAAAATGTGTCTTTTTTTTTATCAAAGCTATACTCATACAGCATGTACTCACGAAAAGCACACACTTCCATCATGGTTTCACAAAACAAAAAGTCATTTCAGCAGACAGTGTTTTACTGATTAAAGAAAGGTATCGACCATATTTGATTAAATAGTTTGAAAAATAATCTTAAGTTTTAGAGTTTTTGGTAATCAAAACAAGTGCTTAAAGATATAGTTTTAACCTTTTTTATCGTAATGATTTAAAAATCAACTTTTTAAGTTCGTTTATGAAAGAATTTCTCATTTCTGACCACAACCTGTACAAAACATCAAAACGGTAAGGATATTATTGCATAAAGGGTTTTAAGTTAATGTTCAATAAAAATGATACAACTTGTATAATTGCAAGATTTAAGAAAACCTAGGAGTAATTTCCAGCTCAAAAATTATACTTTTTGAATCATCCTTTTGTGGTTAAAAAATATGAAATTGAGAAAGTGTATGTAACTGAACCAGTTACCTACCATATCCCCCCCCTCCCAACATTTATGGTTTCATTGTATTCAAATACCTTTTGTGGCATGCACTCCTCCCAGTGAAACCTTCATTTTTGTTTTCATCCATTATTTCCTTGATTGCTGCCCAAACACACTGCCATAAAATTTTCAATATTGTAGTCACAGTATTACCTAATACAGGTCTGTGGAAATATCATGCTCTTGCAACATTTTTTTATGAAACTTAGAATGTTTTGGTCTTCAAGAAACTTTGTATTAAAGCCTAACTATATAGGGTGATACTTATAAATCTTTCCCAGGTTACTGATACCATCATGTATTCCTGGATATTGAAGGAAGAATGAGTTATGAATGATTTGTTTTTTGTCCACTACCATGGTTTGCAGGCGGTACTCGGCGTCCAGTACCGTTACTGGTTTATAGTATATCATATGTTAAGAATAATATCTGTTATCACACGTGCCATCTTCGGAGGTTTCTGGTATTTCAGCTTCGCTCTTCACGTTAGATGTGTAGTTTTGAGTTCATACTTCAGTTGTTAAGTGAATCTCACTGTAAAAATCGGCAATAGCATGAAATATGGTAAACTGGGGACTCCCACGTTCTGGAAGAGAACATGAATGTGCCTACATGACTGATTGCGTGTTAGGTAGGTGCATGCTGTGATTAACCCTTAGCATGCGGGCAGGTCAAACTGCGCATGTCACGACGTTTTAGGAAGTTACATTCACAATTTAATAAAACTACTTAATTATCATGGTATACAAAAAAAAACTTGATATCAAACCATAGATTGTAAATCGTATTTTAATACTGTACAAGTTTTAAGTTCTTACTTGTATAAGGAAACATTTAAAAACAACCTCAAATACCCATAGTGTGAGAATTTTGATATTTATTCTTGAGCTGTCTTCTCTTCTGGATTGTTTTGTGCACCCCTAGAAAAGTACGAAATGTAAGGTAAATTATTCTCTATAATATTCTGAAGCTCTATTTTTATATTCTTCAATCTTATGGGGCTAAAGAGCAATCAGTGAAAATTCAGAAACCACTTTCCAGCCTACCTCTCCCATGCTCTAATTTATAATTTGCAAATAGATTTTTTTCTGAGGCAGACTCCCATTAAATTTATAACCAATAGAAAGCCTAGATTTCAATTGATTCGTTGCCATAGTCGTCATACCACGTGAGCTTACACATAACTGAAACGCTGGAAAGAATAGTTGAATTTATAACTGCTCAAGTCACATGATTATAGATTCTTAAGTTCCGGCAACCTGGTACTGCCAGTACTATTGCAAACCCTGTTTACTATTCTTGTTTTTGTACCCAGCTTTACATTGATCCTACAAAGTATGACTTGACTATTGGGCACTTCAAATTACACTTTTTGGAAACCAAGACACATACCATAGTATTTTGAAACACTTTTTTATGACGTTGTTCGTAATTTTTAGAATGCTTTTCTAAAGTCTTTTTAAAAACTTTAATGCTATAATTTCTAATCTTTATCCACCATAAAGAAAATGTTCAATATTTCCATTATCTCACTCTGTGTTGTACCATAATTTTAAATAACACTATTAATATAGATAAAACTGTTAATCTTTATAAATATTATTTTAAAAGTACTTAAACGTCTAGTTTGTGTGAAGACAACAGAATGAGGCTTAAACAGTGTTCATAATGATCATACTCTTTGCCTGAAGTAATCTACCTCCATCTATTATATAAATTACTATCTCAGCTCTGAAAAACATGTCGTCTAGTATTTCAACTAAAATTAGACTTGAATTATTCAGTTCTGTAATTAAATCATTTAGTTCAACCATTAAATTAATAATATTTTAAAAGATAGAGAGAGAGTTGTGGAATTCTTATCCCAACCTTCAATAACAACTCAAAAATATAGAGCCTTAAAGATTTATAGATACATTACGTGTAATATAACGAGAAGTGGAATTTTCTAGGATTACACGTTTATCGCATCCTGACATTTAAAAAGAAATAAGCAGTTATTTGCAGTAAGCACAAAGTTATACAATGGGTTATCTGTGATATGCCCACCACGAGTATCGACACCCGGTTTCTAGCGTTGTAAGTTCGCAGACATACACATAAGGGCGACTGTTTGTGCTAATAATTACAAATCGTAGTATTCATACCTCATTGAAAAAACTTTGTAAAGGTGAACATTTTCTAAAAAAAGGTTGTTGTTTTTCTGTGAAGTACTGCACGGGAAAGTGTTCAGATTGTGCTCTATAGTCATACCAAACTCATTGCATCAAAATGATTCAACGTACAGAGCTCAAAATTAAATTATACTGATATAAACTCTGAAAAAAAAATACGTTTTTTAAGAATTCTAGTTCCTCAGTACTACATTTAAAACTTGCATCAATAAAAAAATATAATGTATTGTACATCTAGTTAAAAAGTAAGTCGTTTTGTTGACCTTAAAATTATTTGTAATGACCGTGGACCTTATGTTTTTTTAAAACCATGCAAAAAAATATACACCTAGGAAAAAAGTTAAGCACCCCCAAATATTTTT